GAGACAAGGCGGACAGTGACCCACAAGAAGGGAGACAAGACCGGAGACAAAGGGAGACAGATGGAGACAAGGCGGACAGAGTGACCAACAAGAAGGGAGACAAGAGCGGAGACAAAGGGAACAGAAGGGAGACAAGGCGGACACAGTGACCAACAAGAAGGGAGACAAAGGGAGACAAGCCGGACGGAAGGCGGACACGCCAGCAGTGACAGACCTGGGAGACAAGTGAATAGAAACGCTACATGCCCAAAGGAAAAGGGCGGACACCACCAGTAACAGACCTGGGAGACACATGAACAGAAATGCTACATGGGCAGCGGAGAAAAGGGCGGACACTACCACATTCATTTGTCTTCCGGGTCTGTCACTGTTGGCGCCCGCCCTTTTTCGTTGGCCACGCAGCATTTCTATGCGTGAGTCTTCCAGGTCTGTCGCTGCTGGTGTCCGCCCTTTTCCGTTGGCCACCTAGCATTTGTGTTCATTGGTCCCCCAGGTCTGTCACAGCTGGTGTCCGCCCTTTTCCAACATGTCTACTCATTTGTCTCCCAGGTCCGTCACTGGTGGCGCTCTGTTCCGCTGGCCATGTAGCAGTTCTATTAATTTGTCTCCCAGGTCTGTCACTGGTGTCCGCCCTTTTCCGCTGGCCATGTAGCACTTCTATTCATTTGTTTTCCAGGTCTGTCACTCCTGGTGTCCGCCCTTTTCCGTTAACTATGCAGCGTCTCACACCCTTTGTCTTCTATTAATTTATCTCCCAGGTCTGGTGTCCGCCCTTTTCCGTTGGCCACGCAGCATTTCTATACATTTCTCTCCCAGGTCTGTCGCTGCTGGTGTCCGCCCTTTTCTGTTGGCCATGTAGCATGTCCATTCATGTGTCTTCCAGGTCTGTAATAGAAATGCTGCATGGCCGCCCAGTGAAAAGGGCGGACACCAGTTACAGACCTGCAAGACAAATGAATAGAAATGCTACATGGCCAGCGGAAAAGGGCGGACACCAGCAGCGACAGACCTGGAAGACAAAAGTGGAAATGCTACATGGCCAGCAGAAAAGGGCGGACACAAGTTACAGACCTGGGAGACAAATGAATAGAAATGCCACACGGCCAGCGAAAAAGGGCGGACACCAGCAGTGGCACAAAGGGCGGACACCTCTTAAGAAGGAATTGAGAACCCCTAGCAGTAAACTGTTTGGGGAAAAATTGTCCGTAGTTTCTGGCCTTTGAGTCGGCATGTTTTTTTGTGCTTACGTCTCGGCTTGGTTCCCTTGTCTCAGCTCAGGGAGCAGGTTGTGGCTTTGGTTTGTTGAGGTTGGGGGTCCAGCAATTGGAAGAAGAGAAGTTTGAAGAGAAGCCTCGCAAACACAGAAAGAAAAGACGAATCCTGTTCGTAGGCTCGGCATTGGCGATCCTGTTGCTGCATTCACTTATGCATTTTACATTTTTCCTCTTCCATGTGGTGCTGTTGTGCGCAGGGAAGAAGAAATGTGGACAAACAAGTGCAGAGATAGAGTCCGGTGAACGTGAAGTAGCATGAGATGCCATGACCTGGAGAGTTATGAACACCTGATGACGCATTGCTTCCCCACATTGAAGAAGATCCCAGAAAGGGAAGAGCATGTGCAGAGGTATTGACATGTGTTGACATAGCGATCTTGGCATCTCTTGCTGTTCAAGTCCTCAGTCAATGCTGGACACGTGTTTTTTGTTTTATATCGATGACACATATTAACACCAATGGTGTTTCCCTGCACTGAGAAGCTGGCTTAGTCTGAGTTCAAAAGAGCGCGAGAGTGGTTCAACTGTGTTGGGAAGTTCAAGCAAACACTGTGTCCACAATGTGTCCACCAACCCTTTAACATTGCTTAATACGTTGCTTTGCAGTCGAATTTGTTTGTGTCAAAACCCAAGCCATTCCTCAAACTGCCTTTTCAGCATCAAGTGTGCCATGCTAGTGGAGGTGTGCGCCCTTCCATTCCACGAGCTGACACCAAGAGAACACAATGCGCACGAAAGTGAGGGTTGTCCATGTTGGATTTGGAAACCCAAGTGGCACCTCAAGCTCTTCGATCATTGACATGATCAAGTGCTCTGAAGAATCCTGCAAAATTTAGGGCGCTGCCCATGTCATAAGCAGACCATCCTAAAGAAGGCTGAACAGCGGAGAGGGTCAGGAGGGAGAGAAGTTGCATCAAAGCTGGGCATTAATGATGTACAAGTATCCAACTTCAACCTAAAAGCAATGGCGTCCAACCGAATAGCAAAAGGAATCTAATGGCAATGGCCTCCAATCTACTAGCGATGGCCTCCAACTGCACCGATTGTTTCTACATATGTCCACTTGCTGTGGAGATCCACTCATTCACATCAGTAGTTTTCCCTATCAAATATGAGAGTATGCGAAAGAGTAAGTGCGGATCGGAGTGGGCGTAGCTTGTGTTCTGCCAGGCACAAAGTCCGCTTCTTTGGCATGGGATCATTAAGTCTGCCCATCGCAATTTGAAGCTAGAGGGAGGTAGAGATGGAGCAAGACAGACTAAGAGTCGGTTCAAAGCTGGTTGATTTGCTTGCTATCGTTGCTTGACAACGAGTCTTCATTGCTGTCATTGTTGCCTCCAACCTAATAGCGATGGCCTCCAACCCAAGAGCAATGTGATGAACTCATAAAAAGTGGTTGAGCTGTTTGTACATGTGGGCACTAAGAAACCATCGTTCCTTTTCAATGGCATGTACTCGTGGGACCCTGTCCAAATGATGCAGACTCAGTTTCTAATTCACCAAATGTGATTAGATGATGTTGTAAAGATTTCAACAAGAGTGTCACCAGCTTCCAATTGCCTTGTCTTCAAATCTAAAGGCATACAATGCACTAGTGCTTTCTTGTTTCAAAGGCTGACCAAATCCAAGGCTGGCAAGTACACATTCACGCAATCAGCGATGTTCATCCAGGCACCATTTGTACGTCTATAGGTGTGGTACCACCACCGAACGGTTTTTTAAGACCCGAAGGAGCTGTCGCCAGCAGGTAGAAGAAGGGTCTTCCGGTCTTCCACAACATATGTTCACTCTTCCTTCCCGGTTCGGTGTTGCTTCTTCCATGTCGCTCGGGCACAATCCGCCAGGTATGGCACCTCTTGGTGTCAAGCTGCCGAGTCGACCGCAGAGCGCCAAGTCGCCAAGCCGACCCCAAAGTGCCAGGCCAAGCCGAGTTGATACGGGCCCTGTTTGGCTTAGGAGCGCCCGTTCGTAGTGTCCTTGCTCCTAGGTGCCAAAAACGTTGCATCTCCTACATCAGATACGATTCCAGGTGTTTGCTTGCTTGCTGAACAATGTTTTGCTGTTCTGGGTGGTTGACTGGAGCTTAATGCAGTCAGCTGATATAAATATCAAGAAAATTGATGTCAATTCCTTGGAAGCAAAAGCCGTGTTTCAAAGCAAGATCTGAGCGTTCCGTGTCCAAAATCTGCAGAGAGGTGCAATGTTACATTTGGTTTTCCAACATTGTGTTCGATAGAGCACGTTAAGCCACGTATAGCAGCACATGTTTGCCACAATCAAGATTTCGGGCTTGAGCCTTGAGTTAGGTTCATCTTCGGTTGCCAGCATGCGGAGATTCTTGCCAGACGTGCATCTTGTAGGGACCTGCATGTGTCGAATGTGCCCCATTGTCATGTAGCCCTCTATATAATTATGCACTGTGGCTCAATATAGAATTGGCTTCTGGCCCCTCTGGCCCCTCGGGCCTGGCCTATGCACCTTCGCAGTCTTCAGAGCACGAATGCAAGTAAACAAATGTAAGACCTTTCGTCCTTTCATGTTTTCTTTGTTTCTAATAGCGATGGCATCCAACCTAGTAGGAATGGCCTCCAACCTAATACCAATGGCCTCCCCCTAATGGCGATGGCTTCCCCCTAATAGCGATGGCCTGCAACCTAATAGCAATGGCCTCCAACCTAATAGCGATGGCCTCCCCCTACTAAGAGCGATGGCCTCCAACCTAATAGGAATGGCCTCCAACCTAAGAGCGATGGCCTCCAACCTAATAGCGATGGCCTCCAACCGAATAGCGATGGCCTCCAACCTAATAGGAATGGCCTCCAACCTAACAGCAATAGCCTCCAACCTAATAGCGATGGCCTCCAACCGAATAGCGATGGCCTCCAACCTAATAGCGATGGCCTCCAACCTAAGAGCGATGGCCTCCGACCTAAGAGGGATGGCCTACAACCCAAGAGCGATGGCCTCCAACCTGAGAGCCATGGCCTCCAACCTA